TCCTTTTACTCGAACCAAATAGTTGATTGTCCATCTTTAGTTTTAAATATATAATAGTCACGTTTATTAATTAATTAAAGAGTCCTTTTAGCTCGTGAACTTTCAGCTACCAATCGGACAACTTTTATTAGATCCGAAGGTTGCATATATAATGCATCAATTGGATGAAAAGAACACATCATTAAAATTATTTTTAAAAAATTAATTTTAATATATGTAAAAATTATCCCGATGGAGACATTTTTACTGCAATTAAAAAAGAAATCAGACAACCTTTATTTTTCTTATTCTTCCTACAATTTTTAGTGCTTTCTCTTTATCAATTGACAATTGATTTCTTGTTAATTAGTAGTAATATTTTTGGCTTATTTGGGGTTTTTTTTTATAAGAAATTAGTACGTATCACTATCAATTCTTAAAAGAAAAATTAGAGTTTTAACTTATATTTAAAAATTAAAATCTTAATGTAAAATTTAAAATTTTAATTAATTTTTAAATCTATATATCGATATTTAATAAGATAAATTTTTAAATTTTAAATTAAATTTTAATTAAATAAAATGATATAATATAAAGTTATGGCTTTAGTTTTTTTTTAAAGTCGAATTGATATACATTTTTTTCTTTTAATAAATAAAATTGTTTAAAGAGGTGGTCTTGTAAAAATGCTAAATCAATATAGAAAAAAATATATAAATATAGTACTATTCCTTAATATTTTTCCAAAAAAAGATATTATCAAAAGAAAACTTAATCTACAACAATATTTTTAAAGTAATAATAATACAAAATAATGAAAACATTACATCTCCTTGCAGTTTTGGGGCTTTAGGTTCCCAGGGCTTAATGCTAAATTTAATCTTTAATTAATTGTTTATGTTTTGGGTCAAACAAATTATCCGATCAATGGCCTAACGAATACCCTAGAGGTCAAGGAACTGGGCCCATAGACTGTTCATTTTTAGATGATGGGCTCTGAACACTCTGGATAAAGAAACACCGAACACTGAACTCAATAACTCATCCATGTTCGGACATCGGAAGTGGGGAAACGGAGGAGAAGAAACAATGGACCACTTCGGGATTGAGGGGGAGGTGGGGACAAGACAACCGGGCTGATGTCTCTGTCAGCGTTGCCTCGACAGAGATAGTCCAGTCAAGCGATGGACGTGGGCCGGAGAAACACGTGAAGAGGATGAGGTCAGGCCACCACCATCCGTCCCCCCTCCCTGGACAGAACCCAACAACTCAGTCCTCAGATCATTAAAAACGACAACAACCAAAACGTAAAAAAAAAAATCTCTGTAATTATCTTCAATTTCCTCGTCTACTCCAATCCATCTTTCCTAAAATCAGAGCAACAGTTTCCCTAAAAAGCCAGCAATCCCCCTGGTTGGGGAAGAAGGCTGTTTCACTGTTGAGGAATATGAATGCTGTCTGGTTCTTTTTGACTGAGCTTGCTGTTCATTAAATGTGTACGTTGTACTCCCCTTTCACTGATTTTATTGCAAGTTCAGAATGCAGAGTCTTGGCCCTTGTAGGTTGTTCCCCTCATTAATGTCTTATCATTTCTCATCTAGCTAGATACATATAACCATAACAATCTTTTTTTTTAAGGATTTTTTTTACTGTGTTTTCTAATTAAAAATGTAATAAATATATATTTTTATAATTAATTTATATAAAAATTAATTT